GCACAGAATAAGCACTTCATCTGTATCGTCATTATCATTATGATTAACTGCTGTTTTGGCTAGTCTTTATTTTCATTCAGACCTGAATATATCGCAGCTCTACTTTTCTATACCTGTTTTACTTCTTTATTTAGCTTCGATTTCTTGGTCTCTCATTTTATTAACTTTATTTACTTTCTTACCAGTACTTCAAATTCTCATCCAGGGTTCCATTCTACTCATGTATTCCCAAAGGCAGTCAAAAATTGCTGCTGAAAGTCATACAGTGGAATACGCAGACCTGCAATACTGTAATGTTTCTGCAGTACTACTATGTTTCTTTGATCAGGCACTGCTACATTCTTCGGTAACATTTCAGATCTTTTACTTTTCTAAAACAAGAGATCCTGGGGTTTTATGTGAAGTATGATTTGTAAAACTTGACAGTGTGTTCCAAATCTTTGAAAACATTGTGCCTGTCAGATAAAAGCATTCTGAGGACCAAATTCAGCAGCCTAGTAGTTTTCTAACTCCAGTATAATCAGCGTGGGCAGGCTAGTGAAATAAGTTATCAATTGGCAGAAGTTAACTTGAGAATCTAGGTGCTGGCAGGTGCAGTGGCTCACACCTGTAGTCCTAGCACTTTGGGAGGCTGAGGTGGGAGGATCACCTGAGATTGGGAGTTTGAGACCAGCCTAGCCAACATGGTGAAATCCTGTCTCTACTAAAAATGCAGAAATTAGCCGGGTGTGGTGCGGCATGCCCATAATCCCAGTTACTCGGCAGGCTGAGTCACAAGGATCTCTTGAACCTGGAGTGAGCTGACGTTGCACCACTGTACTCCAGCCTGAGCAACAGAGTGAGACTCTGTCTCAAAAAAAAAAAAAAACAAAAACCTAGGTTCTAACCTTTTCAAAGCAGTTAAACATGCCTGGGCTTCTGCCCCATGTATTTAGTAGGTTTGGAGTAGAGCCCCTGGTATAGATGTTTTTGAAAAACTTAACAGATGTTTCTGATGCAGAACCAAGCTGAAAACCAGTAGCCTAGCAAAATGCTCTGCACATTTTAAGTGCAAAATATGATTAGAATAATGAATGCTTTATTACTGCCAAATGAATTTTGAATGAATAAATGATTTACAGCCTGTTTTACTTCCCCAGGTCTACATGCATGTTGCAACTGAGTTAAGCACTGTTTAGGCACGGAAAAGGAAGAGAGATCTGTCTTTTTTTTTTTTTTTTGGTGGAAGAATAAAAAATATAGATAGGGCAATCACATTCCTTCTTCTCAATCTTGTCTCTGGGCTTACAGTAGTATTCTTATGATTAGTGGTATTATGATCAGGGCATTCTTCCTGTAGCAAGCAACAGAAATAAAATGTCTAACTCCTCTTAGTCTAGAACCAGAATGTGCTGAGCTTCTATTTTCCTGTGCTTGCAAAATTGGCCTAGAGCAAGGAAGATGAGTACCATACTACCCCAACCCAGGGTTGTCACTAAACAATAGGCCTTTAAAACACTTCTTCCTTCTTTTTACCTTAGCTCCTATCCTTCAGAGCCAGCCTGACTTCTCACTTCCTCTTTCCCAAGGAGAGCCACCCAAAGCGATCTACAAAGTGCGATTACTATCAAACTACCAACATCATTTTTCACAGAATTAGAGAAAAAAAAAAACTCTTCTAAAATTCATGTGGAACCAAAAAGGAGCCTAAATAGCCAAAGCAATCCTAAGCAAAATAAAACTGAAGGCATCACATTACCCAATTTCAAACTATCGTGTAAGGTTACAGTAACCAAAGCAGCATGGAACTGGTACACACACAGACACATAGACCAGCAGAATAGAGAGCCCATAGATAAAGCTGCACACCTACAGCCATCTGATCTTCAACAAAGTGCATAAAAATAAGCAATGGGAAGAGGATTCCCTGTACAATAAATGGTGTGGGAATAGCTGGCTAGCCCTATGCAGAAGAATGAAACTGGACCCCTAGCTTTCACCATATTTAAAAATTAACTCAAGGTGGATTAAATATTCAAATGTAAGACCTCAAACTATAAGAATCCTAGAAGAGAACCTAGGAAGCACCATTCTTGACATAAGCCTTGGGAAAGAATTTATGACTAAGTCCTCAAAAGCAATTGCAACAAAACCAAAAATTGACAAGTGGGACCTAATTAAACAAGAGCATCTGTGCAGCAGAACAAACTATCAACAGAGTAAGCAGACAGCCTACAGAATGGGAGAAAATATTTGCAAACTCGGCATCTGACAAAGGTGTAATATCTAGACTCTATAAGGACCATAAACAATTCAACAAGCAAAAAAAAAAAAAACCCTATTAAAAAGTGAGCAAAGGACATGAACAGACATTCTCAAAAGAAGATATACAAGCAACAAACACAAAAAAGATATACAAGCAGCCAACAAACATGAAAAAGTGGTCAGCATCAGTAATCATCAGAGAATGCAAATTAAAACTATAGTGAGATACCGTCTCATACCAGTCAAAATGGCCATTATTGAAAAGTCAAAAAATAACATGTTGGTGTGGCTGTGAAGCAAAGGGGATGCTTATATATACACTGTTGGTGGGAATGTAAATTAGTTCAGCCAGTGTGGAAAGCAGTTTGGAGATTTCTTAAAGAACTTAGGACTGCCATTTGACCCTGTAATCCCATTATTGTATATATATCCAAGGGAAACTAAATTATTCTACCAAAAAGACACATGGGCCCATGTTTATCTCAGCACTGTTCACAATAGCAAAGATGTGGAATCAACCTAGATGCCTGTCAATGATGGGCTGGATAAAGAAAATATGGTACATATGCACCATGGAATACTATGCAGTCATAAACTATGAAAACACGTCTTTTGCAGCAAAATGGATGCAACTGTAGGCCACTACCCTAAGCAGATTAATGTAGGAACAGAAAACCAACTACTGCATCTTCTCACAAGTGGGAGCTAAGCATTGGGTACACATGGACATAAAGAGGGGAACAATAAACTCTGGGGACTCTAAAAGTGGGGAGGAAGGGAGAAGGGAAGAGTTGAAAAACTACCTATTGTGTACTATGCTCACTACCTGGGTAATGGGGTCATTTGTACCCCAGACTTCAGTGTCACAGTATAGCCATTAGCAAACTTGCACACGTACCCCCGAAACTAAAATAAAAGAAAAATGAGAAAGGAAAGGGCCAGAGTGTTGTCAAAAGAGCTGTACAGTTTTACATTCCCACTAACAATGTATGAGAGTTATAGTTACCCCATATCCTTATTAGCACTTGACATCATCAGTCTTTTTTTTTTTTTTTTTTTTTTGAGACAGACTTTCACTCTTGTTACCCAGGCTGGAGTGCGATGGCGCGATCTCGGCTCACCACAACCTCCGCCTCCTGGGTTCAGGCAATTCTCCTGCCTCAGCCTCCTGAGTAGCTGGGATTACAGGCACGCGCCACCATGCCCAGCTAATTTTTAGTATTTTTAGTAGAGACGGGGTTTCACCTTGTTGACCAGGATGGTCTCGATCTCTTGACCTCATGATCCACCCGCCTCGGCCTCCCAAAGTGCTGGGATTACAGGCGTGAGCCACCGCACCCTGTCCCATCAGTCTTTTTAAAGTTTTTGCCATTCTAGTGAATGTGTAGTGGTATCTTATTGGAGTTTTAAATCTTCATTTCCCCGATGACAGTGCTGAGCATCTGTTCATGTGCTTATATTTGCCATCTATATTTCTTCCTCAATGAAATTTCTCTTCAATTCTTGTTCATTTAAAAAAATTGGTTTGTCTTACTGAGTTGCAGCAACTGTGGATGAAGTCCTTTATCACGTATGTGTTTTGTAAATATTTTCTTTCAGTATGTGGGTTGTCTTTTCTTCTTCTTAACAGTGTCTTTTGAAGAGCAGAAGTTTTTAATTTTGATGGAATTTAACTTACTACTTTTTAATTTTATGGTTTATGCCTTTTTTTAATCTAAGAATTCTTTGCCTAACGCAAGTTCATAAAGTTTTTCTTTATGTCTTCTTCTACATAGTTTATAATTTTAGCTCTTACACTTAGGTCTGTGATTCATTTTGAGTTAATTTTTGTGTATGATACAACTTAAGGGTGGAGGGTAATTCTTTTTGCCTATGCTCATCTAGTTTTTCCAGAATCACGTTTAAAAGATTATCCTTTCCGCATTGAATTATGTTGGTGTCTTTGTTAGATCGTTGATTGGAGAACTTTCTTCTTTCTTAATATAAGCCTTCAATGTTATCAGTGTTCCTTGAAGCACTACTCTAGTTGCATCCCATAGATTGTGCTTTTATTTTCATTCAATTCAAAATATTTTTCTAATTTCTTCAACTGTGGGTTATTTGTTATTTAAAAATTTTTTTTGAGGTGGGGTCTTACACTGCTGCCCAGGCTGGAGTACAGTGACACAATCACAGTTCACTATGGCTTCAACCTCCCAGGCTCAAGGGATCCATCCACCTCAGCCTCCCCAGTAGCTGGGTCCACAGGTATACACTACCACACTTGGATTTTTTTTATTTTTTTATTTTTGTAGAGATGAGATCTTAACTATGTTGCTCAGGCTGGTCATGAACTCCCAAGCTCAAGCAGTCCTGTCTCAGCCTCCCAAAGTGTTGAGATTATAGGCATGAGCCACCATGTCCAACCACCTATGGGTTATTTAAACTTGCATTTTTTCCCCCAATTTTTAATTTAATTAGGAAAACATAAATTGTATGATTTCAGTCCTTTTAAATTTGTTGAGGTTTGTTTTATGGCTTTGAATATTCTTAACTCTTATCTTTAAAACATTTTTTTCATTATTATGTATCTAAAAGTAGTGATTTCCAGATTACTATTTCATATACCATTTTTACTTTTAAAAGGGTAATGAATATAGTTTACCTGTTTCTTAAGAATGATTATTTCTTTATTATGTAGTAAATTAATATTTGCTTATTTTTGCTTTGTAGTCACAAATATACAAACTGTTCTTCCCTCTCTGTACTTTTCACAGGCCTAAGATCTGGCAAACTTGGTGAACAGTGTGAAGCAGTTGTTCGCTTTCCCAGACTTTTTCAGAAGTATCCATTCCCTATTCTTATCAATTCTGCATTTCTAAAGTTAGCTGATGTTTTCAGAGTTGGGTAAGTCTTTTTAAAGCCTCAGTATCCTAAAATACTTTGTTCATAGTTCTTGTTTTATATTGTGGTCTTTTTCTTTTTGCCTGATAGGACTTCCACCTTGTTAGTTACCGTTAGTGGACACACATGACTGTGTGAGATTTCATGACATTTAAAGCAAAAATGAGTATAATTTAGAGAATATTTATTTGGGGAACAGAATAAAATTCAGATAACCTTAATATTTTACTATGTAATTCAGGAAAATCTGTGGCTTTGTACATGAGATGCATGTCTGTGAAGTACCTGAAACATGCAAGCACTGAATACATACCTGTTTGCTTTTTCTCCCCCTTCCGTTCCCTCTTCTGCTGCTTTCTGCCATTCTTTGTGCATTCATGTGCTCATAATGTACCCAGTACCACACCTGAAGGAGAAAAGAAGTCGTGGAAAGCCCAAGAGAAGAAAAAGCCCATCTGACTTCCTGGCCTTGGTTATAATTTGAGGAGATTTAGTTCTGCTCTAGAGCTTCTCCTTGTGTCACTGCCATTTTGGTGTTTTGCAGCAAGATTATAGCGTAGCTGATTGGTTATACTTGGTGTCTACCTAAAGTACAAACTTTAGGTAACTCTTTTAGTAGTGAGACAAATAATGATAAAATTGAAAAATATTAGCATGTTGCTAAAATTGAATATCACTAGTGTTGCTTTAGTCCCTAATTAAATATTACTTTCTAAAGTGACCTAATTTATTTTATTTTTTTTTCTAGAAATAATTTCCTGAGGCTATGTGTTCTTAAAGTTACCCAACAAAGTGAGAAACATTTGGAGAAGATTCTAAATGTGGATGAATTTGTGAAGAGAATTTTTTCTGTGATTCATAGTAATGATCCCGTGGCAAGAGCCATCACACTCCGGTATACCGTATTATAATAATTCACTATAAGATTATGTGAACAAAAAAAGCAACATATTTACATTTTTCATTTTGAATATTAGAAGTTGGTTTTGTTTTTTTGACTAAGAGTCAGTGCAGAAATGTGATAACCATCCTGATCTGTAAATGCTTTTTAGTCAACATGTATATTACTGTTTTGTTTATAAGTTGTTGCCTAACTTGTGTTTGAAATGCATCGCTATGTAAGTAGATGTTCTGGTCAAATAACTTGGTGGATCTTAATATAGCTTAGCCTCAGCTCATTTTGAACTTTGCCTTCCTGACCTTGTACTTACTGTTTTCTGTTAGTTTTCTATAGTTTTTCTTGATTATGTGATCATTTTTAATGTGATAAATTATATTCGATTTCATTGGAGAACATCAGATAAAACCACTATTGTTTCTTTAGCTTTTTCTTTTCTTTCTTGGCATATTATAAAAAATTTATTTTTTAGAATTTCATTTTGTAAGCTTTATATCCAGCTTGAACCATATTATCTTTTTAGCTCTGCTGTTTATAGACTCATAACTATAACTTTTTACATTTTTTGCAGTTCACTTTCCTAAATTATAGGGTTCATTTCTGACCTACCTTGCCCAGACAATCTTTTTAACTAGGAAGTTCGGGATGTCACATCGTCCCTGAGTGCCCTTTTTTCCACACCAGGAATCAGTTCTTCCTTCTTGTTCAGAATTTAGTGCCTTTGTCATTTCTTTGCCTTTTGAGTGATTAAACTGTGAGCAGTATGTGATATTTTAAAGTCAGTTAATTGATTTTTATCTTTTGAAAACTATATTCAATAGAATCTATCTATCTATCTATCTATCTGTCTATCTATCTGTCTATCTGTCTATCTGTCGATTGATGGAGTCTCACTCTATCACCTAGGCTGGAGTGCAGTGGCATGATCTCAGCTTATTGCAACCTCTGCCTCCTATGGTCAAAGCAGTTCTCCTGTCTCAGGCTCCTGAGTAGCTGAGATTATAGGTACCACCACCACACCTGGCTGATTTTTATAGTTTACTGGTAGAGATGGGGTTTTACCATGTTGGGCAGGCTGGTCTCGAACTCCTGACTTGAGGTGATCTCCCCACTTTGGCCTCCCAAAATGTTGGGATTACAGGCGTGAGCCACTGCACCTGGCCCAGAATTTAAATTTAAGATATTTTTACCCTTTACTTCAACAAATAAGCCTATAGGAATTTTTAAAAGAAATAATTTTTTGAAGTTGGTGAATATGTGTATATAGATGATTATAGTATCATTTTTGTAGAATGAAAAATTGAGGAAAAATCAACATGGTTATAGTTATTTGTGGACTCCTGTATAACTTTTTTAAAGAATAAAGTGAGTTGTGAGTGTACATATACTAAGGTAGAAAGATATTAAGTTTTAAAAGGTAGTCAAATAGTATCCATTTTGTCAGTTAATACTAATATATATGTTTAGGCTCAGGAAAATAATCTAGAGGAATACATACTGTTAACAGTGATTATCTTTGGTAGAGTCATTTGGTTATAGATTACAAGAGCCTTTTCCATTTTTTTGTAATGTTTGAATTGTTTTTCACAAATGTGGTTTTGTTTTTTAATATCAAAAGATAATAGAGAAGGATAGAATTTAACTGGTGGAATGAAATTCATAAATAATTTAGAGCTAGCCTGAATATTTTGATAAGAATGTAGATTAATATTTGGTTGTTATTCATTTTGCATGTTTTCCCTTCTTTAAGTCAAGAAAATTGAGTCTTACCTCAGTTCTTTTTTTAAGCATTGTGGTTATCAGTAAAACCAGCAATCTCTAGAAAGCTTCCAAAAAGAAGGATCACTTTAAAGGAAAAAAAAAATTAGATTGAAATCAGATTTTTCAACAGAAAAACTTGATGCAAAAAGTATTAATGGAAAATTGAGCTAAGAATTTTATATCTAATCCACTTTTCATTTAAAAGAGTAGTAAAATAAAAAGACTCTCAGGCACACAAGGCCTTAGGAAGTTTGCCATATAGGACCTGTTTTGTAAACATTCTTGGAGGAGTTTCTCATTAGGTAGAGAAAAATTAAGCTGGAAGCAGTAGGAATACGTCATTAATTGTGTCAGTATTACCCTGGTGTAATCTTTTCTGGTATAACAGATTAATAGTAATTTGTTTTCTTTTGAAAAATATATAATTTCAAAACTTTTCAAATTATATATAAATTACATATTTAGTTTTTAGTATCTTGCTTATAGAAACAATACTAATTTTTAATTGAGTATAGTTCCAAGAAATAATTAGGTGATTACATGTCATGTTGGAAAGTTATTTAGGATGTTGACTTTGAAGGAGGTTGTCGTTGTAGGAAGATTGTAGGTTTTATTTACTGCAGTGTTTTGCAGATTGCTAAAGTTTATGTCTTTCTGCTGAAAGGATTTTTCAAACTGTTTTCTGTGGTTTATATTACAAACAATAGATTTGTTTCCTTTCTAAATGTATAATTTTATTATAACATGGGCTGTGTTTTCCAAGCTTTAACTTCCACACCTTTGTGGATTCTGGTGTGATCTGCAGGGGTGTCCTTAATCTCTGTTTTCTGGATCTTGAGGGCATTTGAAAATCATCATACCACTATTTACTGATGTGGAAAAAAAAAGATTGGGAGGTCTTACTTTTTTTACTTTGTGTATCTGCTTAATAGCAAAAATGCTATATTCTTAATGTTTTGCTGAAATGGACTTCTTTATGCAACATTGGAAAATTGATATTTTGATGCTTTAATAATTCAAAAGTTTCCTTTCTGGGCTGTTTGGTACCTGGGATGTACCAAAGATGATTGTTAAAAACTTTGCTTTTTAGACAAGTCATTTTAATTTTTCTGAAATATTGAAGTATGTAAAAGTGTTTAAAATTTGAGTCACTGATTCCTAAAGTTATGCTTTATTAACTGGTTTTGGTGGAATTACCTATAAACTTTAGTTTCGATAATCAGGCTTTGCCTTGCCTCTTCCATTTCTGACCTTGACTTTATTGTATATCCGATCTTCTTGGGTTTCTCTGTTTCTGTAGGATGTTGGGAAGTCTGGCATCAATAATTCCTGAGAGGAAGAATGCTCATCATAGTATTCGTCAGAGTTTAGATTCACATGATAATGTAGAAGTCGAAGCTGCTGTTTTTGCTGCCGCAAACTTCTCTGCACAGTCAAAGTAAGCATATGCCTTTTAGTAATTTGGCTTCCCAAGAAAAGTTTTTGAAGGAATAACTGATCAATGTATATAAACTCTAAGAGATTCAGGAAAGTGTAAATGTATATTTACCAAGAAGGTTTACCTTATGTTGGGGAAATAAGACTTAAATACTTAAAATAGAAAATGTAAGTGCAAATGTTGGCATTAATTGTAAATGAAATGAGTTTCCAGAAGGACGAGATCAGCATAGATGAGTTGGGGAAGGCTTCAATGGGTAGCAGAAGTTTTGGTCACTGAGGAGCTTCTCTCAGACATATATATCTCTAATACTAAATTAAGTACTTACTATCTTCTAATGTTGATTTGTTTTGCATTAGAGCTGTACACAGTTTGGCAAAGACAATGACTTGAATTAAAACCAATATTAACCTATTCAGAATGTTGTGTCTTACACTGTTGTTTTACAGAACAGTATTTTTTTTGGCAGGAGGATTAAATGTTGACCATGGTTTTATTACCATGTTTGATTGGCTTGTTTATCCTCTGTAAAAGAAAATATAATATCCCCCTGACTGATAGGAAAAGTAGCATTGCCTTCTGGAGTGAGTTTTGGTAATATTTGACCCAGAAAATTCACTTCCAGAATTTATTCTAAGATATCAGCAATATGTACTGATAATTATTTGTATGGATGCTAGGTGTAGTATTAACTTGCAGCAACAAAAGAAGCAACCTAACTTTCTGCCAATGAGCTTAGATAAATTATAATATGATCATACAATAGAATACAGTAACAGCTTAAAACGAATGTTTTTAGAAACATATTTGGAAGCAGGTGTAATATAATAGGTTCGTTTAAAAAAAAAAATCCCTGGCCAGGTGCAGTGGCTCACGCCTGTAATCCCAGCACTTTGGGAGGCCAAGGTGGGTAGTTCACAAGATCAAGAAATTGAGACCATCCTGGCCAACATGGTGAAACCATGTCTCTTCTAAAAATACGAAAATTAGCTGGGTGTCGTGGTGTGCGCTCTGTAGTCCCAGCTACTTGGGAGGCTGAGGAAGGAGAATTGCTTGAACCTGAGAGACAGGTTGCAGTGAGCCGAGATCGTGCCACTGCACTCTAGCCTGGTGAGGGGGAGCAAGTCTCTGTCTCAAAAACAAAAAACAAAAAATAAAAAACCCTAATAGCTTATGTAATATAACAGATTTGTTTTAAAAAATGCCCTAATTGTATTTATGCAATAGAAAAAAAGACTTGAAGGGTATATATCAAAATCTTATCTCTGGGTGGTAAGATGGTATACAATCGTTATTTTCTTTTTGTTAATTTCCTATATTTTGCCATGAACAGGTTCCAGTTTTATAACCAGTTGAAAAATAAGGTTTTTTTTAGCATAAAAAATACTATCTGTGGACAGGCACAGTGGCTTACGCCTGTAATCCCAGCACTTTGGGAGGCTGAGGTGGGTAGATCCACGAGGTCAGGAGATTTGAGACCATCTTGGCCAACATGGTGAAACCCTGTCTGTACTAAAAATGCAAAAAAATTAGCTGACACTTTGGGAGGCCGAGGTGGGTGGATCACAAGGGCAAGAGATCGAGACCATCCTGGACAACACGGTGAAACCCCATCTCTACTAAAAATAAAAAAATCAGCTGGGCGGGCGTGGTGGCGCATACCTGTAGTCCCAGCTACTCAGGAGGCTGAGGCAGGAGAATTGCTTGAACCCGGGAGGCGGAGGTTGCAGTGAGTTGAGATCGCACCACTGCGCTCCAGCCTGGTGCCTGGTGACAAAACAAGACTCTGTCTCCAAAAAAAAAAAAAAATTAGCTGGGCGTGGTGACAGGTGCCTGTAGTCCCAGCTACTCAGGAGGCTGGAGACAGGGGAATAGCTTGAGCCTGGGCAGCAGAGGTTGCGGTGAGCTGAGATCGTGCCACTGCACTCCAGCTGGGCGACAGAGCAAAACTCTGTCTAAAAAAAAAAAAAAAAAAGTATTTACATAACTCTTCAGCTATTTTTTTTTTTTTTTTTTTTTTTTTTGATATAGAGTTTCAATCTTGTTGCCCAGGCTGAAGTACAATGGCTCAGTCTTGGCTCACTGCAGCCTCCACCTCCAGGTTCAAGTGATTCTTCTGCCTCAGCCTCTTGAGTAGCTGAGATTACAGGCACCGGCCACCATGCCTAACTAATTTTTGTATTTTTAGTAGGGACAGGGTTTCAGCACATTGGCCAGGCTGGTCTTGAACTCCTGCCCTCAGGTGATCTGCCACCTCAGCCTCCCAAAGCACTGGAATTATAGGCGTGAGCCACCATGCCCAACCCCTTCAGCTATTCTTAAGAAACCTCCAGAATTCCAGGAATTCTTATTGAAAAAGTAGATAATGCCAGGATATAATTTTTAATTTCACAGATCAAAATTAATAGATGTAGCAGTAATTAATGATCAGAAATATCTCAATAAATACAGTTTCTATTTGTGTCTTTGAAAATAAGCATTTTGTTTTTCTTATTGAGAGAGTCATTGGTATTGAGGACTTCAAAAAATTTCAGTAAATTGTCTCTTAACTATTAGGGTTCATTCTGAGAAATGCATTTTTAGGCAGTTTCATCATTGTGCAAACATCATAGAGGACACAAATCTAGATAGTATAACATATTACACACCTAGGTTATATGGTATAACGTGTTGCCGTTAGGTTGTAAACCACTTTCTGTGCTGAATAACAGGCAATTGGAGCACAGTGGTATTTGTATATCTAAACATAGAAAAGGCTCAGAAAAAATATGGCGTAAAAGATCAAAATGGTATGCCTTTATAGGGCACTTACCATTAATAGAGCTTGCAGGACTGGAATTTGCTCTGGGTGATCAGTGAGTGAGTGGTAAATGAATGTGAAAGCCTAGGACATTACTGTACACTACTGTAGACTTCCTAAACACAGTATACTTAGGTTTCACTACATTTTTAAAGTTTTTCCTTATTCAATAATAAATTAACCTTACCTTACCATAACTTTTAACTTTTTGACTCTTTTATAATAACACTTTTAGCTTAAAACACAAACATTGTATAGCTGTATAAACATAATTTCTTCATGTTCTTATTCTGTAAGCTTTTTTTGTTAAAATGGTGTTAAAATTAAGACAGCTGCGCACAATGTCTCACACCTGTAATTCCAGCTACTTAGGCTGAGGTGGGTGGGGGGGAGGGGGTTGCTTGAACTCAGGAGTTCAAGACCAATGTAGGCAATATAGTGAGACCCCTCAAAAAACAAAAGACAGACAGACATACATTAACCTAGGCCTTTACTGGGTCAGAAATCAAGACATCTCTGGCCAATATGGATTTTTCATCTCTGCTGTAATCTTGAGGCCGCTGTCATATATGTGGTTTGTCATTGACCAAAACGTTGTTATGCCACACATGACTACTTTTATTGATTAGGAGTTGTACCTAGTGAATAAATATCATCTGATTACCACTGTCAAGGTGTCAGTGCTTCATAAACTGTCAGATTAAATATGTACTTCTAGTGGTTCCAAAAATAGTTTTCTAAATTTAGTTTCTAAATTTGGATGATAAGTTTGTAATTTAGTGATAAAATTTTATAGATGAGAATCATTTTTAGTTCAGTTTTTTCTTGTGTTATTATGAGAAGCTAATTTAAAATAAAATTAGCTGTGTAATTATTGTTCTTGGAAAATGATTAAGACCAACTAGCAGAAGCAGCAAGATTCTTCACCTTTGGAATTTATGATTATAAACATCTAAATTAGCAGTTGATGTAGAAACAGTTTTTAATATACATGCTTCAATATGATATGCTTGTAATTTATTATATTAAAAAATACCAAATGAGTCTCTGTCACCTAGGCTGGAATGCATTGGCGCAGTCATGGCTCACTGTAGCCTCAAACTACTGGACTCAAGTGATCCTCTCACTTCAGCCTCCCAAATTGCTGGGATTACAGGTGTGAGCTACTGCGACCAGCTGACGAGATTGATATTTTTGAGATCAGTGTTCATGTCTTCTCCCAGAAATAATGACCTGGCTTGAGATCACATATCTCGGTCAGTACTGATAGATTTTTTTGTCTGGTATCTGTATTGATCAGTTTTGGATATTAAATCAGAGTAAATAGCCAAATAAGACCTTTAGAATTTATTTAATCTTGTTCTTCCCCTGTCTCCTACCGTAAACCACATCTGTCTTATTCTAAACCAGATACTTTTAAATTGCTAGTCCTTGGGTTGCAAAGCAAGAGTTGCAAGATTCAGATGCTTTCTGGGGCCAGGTGAACATTGTCAGTGAGAGCAGTGTCCTCTAGTGGCACTTGTGGTGAACTGAAGCATGTCCACACCACCAAAGGAATGGATGCCCAGTGCTCAGGTCTCAGTTTTTGACAAAGGAGAAGGGATCATCTGAGAAACCAGATTATTCTGTTTGGTCTCACTGTATTTAAATGTTGACATTAAGAATTGTTTAAATGTTATTTTAAAAAGAATTTTTAAAATATTATTACAAAAAACTTGCAGTCTCCTAGTTTGCAGTTTTGTAACAGATCTTTAAATTTTAAGTTTTTATAAGAAGTCTTTATATGGTCATTAAAGAAATATTTATTTAATATCCAATGTGTTCAGACACTTTTCTAAGTGCCAGGAATATAGGGGTGAAAAAGTTCAGGCCTTATCGTTATGTAAACCCAAAATCATTTCAGATGCTTGTTAGTGTTATGAAAAAATAACGCTGCATTGTGATAATGGCCTAAGTGAGCTGCTTTAGAGCAGCGTCGGCAAAGCCCATTTGGTTGCTGGAGTTTTTATTTTAGTTGTGTTTCTTACCACCTACCCTAACTCTAGCACCTAACTTTGGAATATTTGTTGCAGTTTGGAGTATTGCATTTTTTTCTGTGCTAATTGTGTTCTATTTCTTTTAAGTACTTAGAAAACATAAGCAGATTTAATTTTTTGGTTTTAAAGTTTTTTTCTGATCTTTTTTCCCAAAGGGATTTTGCTGTAGGAATCTGTAACAAAATCAGTGAAATGATTCAAGGTATGTATTCTTCTTTCAGTATTATGAAGTGACTTCATGAGATTTATGATAAGTTGCTAATACTAATTAAGTATTACTATTTGCTAGTCACCATACATTCAGATAATATTTATTAAGTGTCTTCTGTGTGCCCAAACTGTTCTAAATGCTGAGGATATAGGACTGAGCAAAACGAAGTCCTTGCCCTCATCTGACCTACATTCTAGTCTGGGGTGGGTGAGGATAGACAAATATGCATATGGCATATTTTGTGCTATGGTGAAAAAGTGAGAGAAGGAGAGTCTCAAAAGTAAGTCGATAGTGGGGTGAGAGAAGGGACTTTTCTATTTTATATATATTTGATCAGAGAAGGTCTCTAATGAAGTGATATTTGAGTGAGACATGAAGGAGGGAAAGGAGTGAGCCATGCAGATATAGTCCAGCATTGCTTAGCAGTGGGGATCCTTTGTGAGAAATGTATCCTTAGGCAATTTTGTTGTTTGAACTTCATAGAGTGTACTTATATAAACCTAAATGGTATAGCCTGCCTATACCCTTAGGCTATGTGGTATAGCCTCTTGCTCCTAGGCTATAAGCCTGTACAGCATGTAACTGTGTTGAATACCATAGGCAATTGTAACAAAATAATAAGTATTTGTATATCTGAGGTAGAAAAAGTAATATATTGCACTGTAGTGTTACAATGACTGTAGGGTCTATGAGTTACTAGGAATTTTTCAGCTCCATTATCATATGGGACCATTGCCTGTCATGTGGTCTGTCATTCATCAAGGCATAGTTACGGGGTACATGATTGGTTTAGGGAAAACTATTCTGTCTGAGAGAGAATAATGCCATTAGGAGCTCTGGGACTCTCTGCTAATGTCCCTCCAGTGTCTTCCAGTTGCAGTTAGAATCAAATCCAGATTCCTTACCATAGACCACAAAGCCCTGGTTTTCCAATCTCTTTTATACCATGAGTCATGTGTATTAACCCTATTTATCTTATAACAGTCATTATGGGAGCCCAAGAGCTCCCATAAGGTTAATAAGTGTGTCATATCCCTATTTATCCTTATAACAGTCATAAAAGGGAGCTCTTTGGGTACAATATTGCATGACTCTAGAGAACACCACTTTGTTTATATTCTTATAAAGAGCATTCCTTCGGAGTGTGCAACTTGGCAGCCTTGGATACGTCATACTATAATGTTCATTTTATGGGAAAGGAAATGGAGCCACATTAAAGCTGAATAATTGGTTCATAGTTATACATCTGATAACTTGCTGTTTGGCTTTGAGGCCCATGCTTTTAACCACTATGCTATCATGCCTTTCTAGGGCATCAATTTCTCAGTGTAGTTATATTTTGCATGCATTTAAATTGTCTTTCATATTAAAATTAAAGAGAACTTGCTCACTTGCATAAATAATAAAAACCACTTAAAGACCAAGATATAGAGAATTAACTTTGTTGTGTTCCCTTTTATCCCTTTGTCTTTTTTCTTCCACCATTAGCAAAAGGGCTTTCTTGCAGAAAGATATATCCTTGTGACATTAGAAGGAAGCATCACTTATTCATTGAGCAGGATTTTATCAATTGCCTGCTGTTATCAGACAAGATTTCAGCTGGAAACAGGTGGCACATTTGAATTAAGATAACTCAAGGAAGATATAATAAAAAAACCATTCACAAAGGCATGGTCCGGGGGTGCTATAGGGGATAATGTAGTTCTTGAGCCCGTAATAACTTTTTTTTTTTTTTTTTGAGACAGAGTTTCGCTCTTGTTTACCCAAGCTGGAGTGCAATGGCGCGATCTCGGCTCACTGCAACTTCCGCCTCCTGGGTTCAGGCAATTCTCCTGCCTCAGCCTCCTGAGTAGCTGGGATTACAGGCACGCGCCACCATGACCAGCTAATTTTTTGTATTTTTAGTAGAGACGGGGTTTCACCATGTTGACAAGGATGGTCTCGATCTCTTGACCTTGTGATCCACCCACCTCAGCCTCCTAGCCCGTAATAACTTTTACCACACTTCTTGAAGTCATGTCTGAAGGGCCACTTTGAGAAACTAACCTTCAGGAGCATGATGTGACCCTGCAGTGAGAGAAGCAGGGAATAAGTACTCTGACCTCATTACTCTGCAACTTCTGCTGGACACTCCATTGGTTCAACCCAAAAAGAGGGCAGATAGCAAGGGAGTTGATGAAAGCTGTACAAGTGAGCCTTCTAGGATTTTGTGTTGCGTATTTTGTGTGTCTGGTGGTAGTTATATGGGAACATACATACGTAGAAATTCATTAATCTTTACACTTAAGATTCATTGTTTTTTAACTTTATTTTTATTTTTTTTTGAGACAGTGTCTCGCCCTGTTGCCCAGGCTGAAGTGCAGTGGTGCAATCTCAGCTCACTGCAACCTCCACCTCCCAGGGTTCAAGTGATTCTCCTGCCTCAGCCTCTGGAGTAGCTGGGATTACAGGTGCATGCCTCCTCACCCAGCTAATTTTTTGTATCTTTAGTAGAGATGAGGTTTCACCATGTTGGCCAGGCTGATCTCTAACTCCTGACCTTGTTATCCACCTCTCTCTGCCTCCCAAAGTGCTGGGACCACAGATGTGAGCCACTGTGCCCGGCCGATTAATTACTTTATTTTTCCTTAAATTTTATCTTAAACAATCTAAAAGAACAGGAATTAGGAGAAGAGAGAGGCAGAGGAAAACATAGGCGTATGGGTGGAGGAAAAGTAGAGGAACATTGAAACCCAAGATACGCAAATGGAAGAGGAGTTTTAGGAACAGAGTATCCTGACATTTAGATTTAAGTCACTTGTATTTCTGCAAAGTAAAATCTCCGAGCTTCCCTAAATCTTTGGTAAAGATGCCTGTAAACTCAAAGACTTCTCTGAGTACTGGGTTAAGAATGAACTTGCAGTGTAGGAAAGAGGGATATGAGACTAGAGTCTGCCATGGGGAAAGGCCTAAGTAGGGAGCATACTTAGGAGACTTGCAATAATTTAGTCAGGATTTGATAATGGAAATGGATCGGTTTGTTAACAATGGAGGCAGAAAGGTAGAATCAGTTTTGGGTTTTATTTTAAAGATAAAACCAGTAAGATTTGCTAATACATTTGGAAATGGGATGTAAGAGAATTCTTCTTTCACTAATCAAGAAAGACTTTGAGGTCTGAGGAGCCATAATGATGTCATTTACTGGGACAGAAATATTTTTGGAGGGGCAGTTTCAACGTGAAGATCAATTTTCTTTGGGTCCTATTAATGCAAAATGTTTCTGAGATCTCCTAGTGCAGATGAGCAGAAAGTAATGAGATACATGCATGTGATGTCCGCAGCAGGAGGACGGGTGTGTGGGAGTCTTTCACATTCAGCTGATAATGGAAACCATGGGATTATATCAGCTCACTCGGGGAAAGCACATAGAATGAGAAGGAAATTTAGTAACAACCCACGGGAATATCAGAAATTAAAGCATAGACGGATGTATTGGGGTTAGTCTTCATGGATCCAGTTGTGTGTGCAATAAGGAAAGGCATAGGGTCGGGCATGGTGGCTCATGCCCGTAATCCCAGCACTTTGGGAGGCCGAGGTGGGTGGATCACAAGGTCAGGAGTTCGAGACCAACCTGGCCAATACGGTGAAACCACATCTCTACTAAAAATACAGAAAAATTAGCCAGGCGTGATGGCTCATGCCTGTAATTCTAGGTACTTGGGAGGCTGAGCCAGGAGAATCACTTGAACCCGGGAGGTGGAGGTTGCAGTGAGACAAGATTGCACCACTGCACTCCAGCCTGGGCAATGGAGCAAGACTCTGTCTCAAAAAAAAAAAAAAAATTACTACACGAAGTTCAGAGGACTTCCAAACTATTCTATACACAGTTTATTCACATCCTGATTCTGATTTAGTTGTTGAAGGAAATAATTAAAATGATAAGTATAGTCAGACTATAGGCATCAAGTGTGTGTGTTTGTGTATATATATGTATAAGTGTATGTATAATTTTTTTACTATGATAATGAGAGGAAATTGGCAGCAAATATGACTTTGCTTTCTACTGTGCTTTTTAAAGGCAGTTTTCACTATCAGCATGTAGTTTTATAATCATTGAAAAGTTAATATTAAGATAAATACTTTGGAAAAAATATTGAATTTATTGATTAGTTCTAATATAATCTTTAATGTTATAAATAAAATATAAGTATACTGTATTTTTAAAGTGCTATTTTGCTAATTGAGTCAGTTTTTAAATCCGAACTATCATTAAGGATGATGATCACAAATACCTTGAGAATTCTTTTTGTGTCTAGGTTTAGCGACACCAGTAGACTTGAAGCTAAAATTGATACCCATCCTACAGCACATGCACCATGATGCAATCCTGGCTTCCAGTGCTCGTCAGCTTTTACAACAGCTGGTCACATCCTATCCATCCACCAAAATGGTGATTGTTTCTTTGCACACTTTCACTCTGCTTGCAGCTTCATCTTTGGTTGATACACCTAAGCAGGTAATTTCAGTTTTCTTTAAACTGCCTATTACTTGGTAAACTTACATATTAAATATGTGCTTAGAAATAAGAAAGTAGCATGTAAGTCATGAGGACATTAAGGTTCTTTTCTCTAATAAAGGTCAGATTAATTTCCTTTTGCTTGCTTTTTTTTTTTTTTTTTTTTTTAATAAGACGGAGTCTCGCTCTGTCACCTAGGCTGGAGTGCAGTGGCATCATCTTGGTTCACTGCAACCTCTGCCTCCCGGCTTCAAGCAGTTCTGCCTCAGCATCCTGAGTAGCTGCATTACAGGTATGCACCACCATGCCTGGATAATTTTTTTGTATTTTTAGTAGAGATGGGGTTTCACCATATTGGCCAGGCTGGTCTTGAACTCCTGACCTTGTGATCCTCCTGCCTTGGCCTCCCAAAGTGCTGGGATTACAGGCATGAGCCTGTATTATCTATGTTCACGGTACTGATTGTTGAGAGCCCTTGAGGAAAATGAGATGTGGGGTACATGGCTGGGTGTGAAGTTGGCAGTGTAATAAAAAAAAATGCCAGGTCCTGTGCTAAAACTTTAAATGGTAGTATTTTACAAACATGGAGAAAGAGGCCTAAATGTGGGCATGTAGCTAATTAATGACAGGGCTCTGATTTGAAGTGAGTCCTGTCCCTTTATAAGTTTCACTAAACTACACTGCATTTCTCATGATAATTTCAATTATAGTGTTGTTCATGGAGTGACTTATTTTCTTTATAGATTCAGCTTCTGTTGCAGTATTTGAAGAATGATCCCAGGAAAGCAGTAAAGAGACTTGCTATTCAAGATTTGAAATTACTTGCTAATAAAACACCACATACTTGGAGTAAGGAGAACATTCAGGTATGTAGAACTTGTAACCTTAATATTTTATATAGAAAAAAATAATATAACATTATAATGTAAAATGTTTTGCATTTTTATTTTGTCCTTTGTCATCTTCTAAGTGGTTGAATATGAAAAATGTCTAAAAGTATTGATGTTTGTAGCAGAAGTTATTTTATAAGTGGCATAATAAATACATAAAACTTCTATACTTCAGTGTTTGTTCTAGTCAATGAAACTTGCCACTCAATTGCTTGTTCATTTGCCATAGCGGCACTAAGTCTAACTGAGAAGCCCAATTACATTGTTTTTTTTATTCTTGTATTTTTCAGTCAATTTGGGGAGAAAAATTTAGGGGCTGACTGTTACGTATAATGGAGAAGGGCTGGATAGGCAACTTGGAAAGTGTATTTCTCTACTCATAGAGAGCAGAAGACATTCTTAAGTCTTCTTTTGTAAACAGAAGAGCAGATCTCACTCTTTAGACTTGATGTGACAACTTTGACATTATCTGTTAGATTAAATTAATATTTTATATTTTTTCTCAAAATGCAACCCTGTTTGTTTACTCATTACCATGCTGTTTAAAATGGAATGCAAGTTTTTATCTCTTAGCATCATCATGATTCCAGTGGATCAAAAATCTTTGAATTTCAGATTATTAAAACTAAACTGCTGTGTTTGTTTTTCTGTTTGTTTGCAGTTTTCTAAATGTCTTTTAATTTATTATATTATGATTTGGTAGTCACAGATATCCCAAGATAAGGGCAGTTGTTAAATCTGCATTTAATAGATACGCAGTTAGGGTTCAAAAAGACTTAATAGGCTTAAGAGAGTGTCTTAAGAGAAGTAAATTAATAGTTTAAGAGAGCTTCTAGCCAGGTGCGGTGGCTCACGCTTGTAATCCCAGCACTTTGGGAGGCCGAGGTGGGTGGATCACGAGGTCAAGATATCGAGACCATCCTGGTCAACATGGTGAAACCCCGTCTCTACTAAAAATACAGAAAATTAGCTGGGCATGGTGGCGCGTGCCTATAATCCCAGCTACTCAGGAGGCTGAGGCAGGAGAATTGCCTGAACCCAGGAGGCGGAGGTTATGGTGAGCCAAGACCGCGCCATTGCACTCCAGCCTGGGTAACAAGAGCGAAACTCCATCTCAAAAAAAAAAAAAAAAAAAAAAAGAGAGCTTCTGTCTTCTCATCCCTAGTCCTAATGCTTTTTCTACTAAATAATGCTATCTTTCCAAGAAGAGAATATGCCCAACCACTTTAGTCATTTAGAGAATTTGTGCAAAGAACCAAACCCAGTTACTTAGAAAGATCAGTGAGAAGCACAGTATTATTCTTTCTCAATTCTTTCTCATTTTTTTCTTATTGTGAGATAGATCTCACATACAGAAACATATGTGAAATGTATAAATAGTTTAAATACATTTAAGTGAAAACCCATGCAGTTACCATCCAACTAGAAATAGAATATTACAGGATCACAGAACCCTGCCTCCTTCCCTTTCATGGTCCTTCCTGATTGGAACTTTACACCTACCAAAGGGAAACCACTATTTTGACTTTCGTGATAATTTCTTTGCTCTCCTTTGTAGTTGTGCCTTCTTCACATGTCTTTCTAAAGAATACTGTTTAGCTTTGCTTTTGTTTCTTTTGCTCAGCATTACACTGGTGAGACTCATCCATGTCTTTTCCCTTTAATTGTAATATAGCATTCCATTGTATGAATGTATCCTGTAGAGATTTGTGTTGGCTTCTGCCAGGCAGAGATGTCCGATTAGTGCTAAATGCTGCCAAGAAACATTAAGGCAGGAAGAAGATTAGTGAATATGGAAGATGGAGGTTGCAGTTTTAAGTAAGCTGGTTATAGAAACTCTCTCTGAGAAGTTGACATTTGTGCAAGGACCTACAGAAGGGAATGTCAATTTTGGGGGCCCCTGAAGGAAGGATATCATCAGCAAGAGAACAGCAAAATGACCCCGAAGTAAGAGCATTCAGGAGTTTGAGGTCAGTGTGACTGTTAATAGGGGCTATTAGTAGGAGGTGAAGTTAGTTGATGAGAGGGAGGAGTAATTTTTTAGGGCTTTTGAGTCCTTCTAAGGACTTTAGCTTTTAAGTCTACATGAGATAGATTGCCTTTGGAAGATTTTGAGCAGAGGACATTATCTATAATTTTTTAGGGCTTTTGAGACCTTCCTAAGGACTTTAGCTTTTAAGTCTACATGAGATAGATTGCCTTTGGAAGATTTTGAGCAGAGGACATTATCTAACTGAAGTTCTAAAAGATTATCTCTAGCTTAGCTCTATTGAGACTATATTGAAGGGGCCTAAAGGCAGAAGTAGGGAGAACATTTAAGAGGCAGTTATAAATAATCCAGTGGGAAAATATTTTGGTTACCTGAACCAAGGTAGTTGGGGTGGTGGTGAGAAGTGGTAGTAGTCTGGATATATTTTAAGGTTAGAGCTGATGGATTTCTTGGCATATTGTAGAGAAAGAAAATTGGCTCTAAGTGTTTTGCCATCAGCAAATGGAATTGCCGTTTGCTTGAAATGGGCAAGACTCTGGGAGACTCATTTCTTGAAGGGAAGATGAAGAGTTCACTTCTGAGTATATAAAGTGTAAGATGTCAGACATCCAGGTGGAGATGTCAAGGACATATGTACCTGGAGTTCAGTGGACAGATCCAGTTGTGGTTATAAATATGAGAGTTATTATTTTTATAGATGGTAATTGAAACCATGCGACTAGATGACTTGACTAGGGAGAGAATATGGCTAGAGAAGATTTAGAGAATGTTAAAATGAGAAACAACCAGCAAAGGAGCCTGAAAAGGAGTGGCCTGTGATAAAGAAGTCAGAATAGTATTTTATAGGGAGAAGACCTTAGTCTTCTCCCTATAAAATAGAGAACTACTGCAGCCATATTCACCAAGATAAAGACTGATAGTTCACCTTTGCATTTGGCAACATGAAGTCATTGATAACCTTAAGAGAGCAATTTTGCTGCAGCATTGTGGGTAAAAGACTGATCAGAGTGGATTCTGCAGGAAAACAGGAGAGAGATTTAAGGCAGTGAATGTACATTGGTCCCTCAGTATCCACTGGAGATTGGTTCCAGGACCGACCCTTTTCTAGATTACTTATACTACCCAATATAATGTAATTTTAAATAAATGGTTGTATTATGTTGCTTTTTATTTGTATTTTTTTTGTTATTAATATTTCAAATACCTTTGATCTGGATTTGGTTGAATTAGTGGATGTGAAAGCCATGAATATTGAATGCCTACTGTAGAAAACTTTTTGAAAGGAATTCTCTCAAGGGAACAGAGAAACGATATGGTATTGCTAAAGGGTATGGTGTTTGTTTTTATCCTGGGAGGAGTACAACAAAGGTTTTAAGGAAACACAGAAATTCAAATAAACTAGGGAAATAGAGGATTGCCAGGAAAGATATTTGAGTAAAGCAATATATAATGTGTTGTGTGGCACATACAAATAAATGCTTTTTTAAGGATAGCTGTAAGTTATCTTAAAGGTAAGTTTATTCTTTAGTTTTCGTTTTTAAATACTTTGACAGATTGTAATGTTGGGGTTGTACTGTCTTAATAAAATGAACTGGGAAGTTTCTCTTTCTATACTCTGGAATGGTTAAGAACTATAACAGAATTTTCTGTTTCTGCAGGTATAACTTTAAAATTGCCATAAATTTATCTGAATCTAGAAGTATTTCCAGCGATAGTTACGTTGAGAACATTTCCAATCACTACATGTTATTGTCCTATCAGTTTTCTACCTCTCTGACATCAGTTTTGGTCATTTGTTTTTCATTTAATTTACTTCTCAAGTTCATTAGTATCAGCACGAAAAGTCTGTAACTTCTAATATCTTTGTATTTGATTAAAAAAAATTTTTTAATCTTGCACATTTGTGTTTATATCCCTTTTACTTGATTAGACTTGCCAGAAGCTTTGCTTTCTTATCTTTTCAAGTGCTTGGTACATTTTTGCTTTTCTTGTTTAATAATGAAAGCAGTTAAGACTGCTAATTTGCTTCTTGGTACAGATTGGCCAAATTTCATAAATTATGTCTTGTATTGTTCTCATTGCCATTAGTTTGAAATGCGTGGTTTTTGTTTTTTTTTTTGAGATGGAGTTTCTTGTTACCCAGGCTGGAGTGCAATGGCGCGATCTCAGCTCACCGCAACCTCCGCCTCCTGGGTTCAGGCAGTTCTCCTGCCTCAGCCTCCTGAGTAGCTGGGATTACATGCACACACCACCATGCCCAGCTAATTTTTTGTCTTTTTAGTAGAGACAGGGTTTCACCATGTTGACCAGGATGGTCTCAATCTCTTGACCTTGTGATCCACCCGCCTTGGCCTCCCAAAGTGCTGGGATTACAGGCGAGAGCTACTGCACCTGGCCAGAAATGCGTTTTTTAAAAAGCCAGATTTATTGTGGTATAATTTATTTACAGAAACTTTTCCATGTATATAACTGGATGAGTTTTTACAAGTGTACAAAACCACCATCACAGTTGAGATACAGAACATTTCAATTACCCCCAAAAGTTTCTGCAGGCCCCTCTGTAGTCAGTTCTTTCCCCAACCCCTGGCAACTACAAATCTGATTCCTGCTGCTGTGATTTTGCCTTTCCAGGATATAAATAATCACATGGTATGTGACCTTTTGGATATCCCTTCTTTCACTTATCATAATGCTTTTAATAATTATACATGTTGTTACATGTAGCAATAGTTCGTTCCTTCTTATTGCTGAGGAGTATTTAAATATATGAGCATACAACAATTTATTTGTCTTTTCATAAGTTGACGGACATTTGGATTGTTTCTGGGTTTTTGACCATTATGAATAAAGCTGCAATCTTACACGTCTTTGTGTGACATCTCTTGGGTGTGACACCTAGAAATGGAATTGCTGGGTTGTGTGGTTAAAAACTTACTCTGTTTAACTTTGTAAGAAACTGCCAAACTTTTTTCCAAAATTCCAATAC